AGAAGGACCAGAAATGGTCATGGTGAACAGGAATCAGAATGCTGACCAAGTACTTAGACAAGTTCGACGTCATGATGTAGCAGAAGAGAATAACCTAGCAGCAATGGCCGAAAGGATAATGACCAGAAATAGCGCAAACTTTGGCTTTACTAGGCCAAATTATACTTCACCTATAATGGATTATATTTTGCAGGCTAAATTACCTCCAAGGACGAAAGTCCCAAAATTTAGTAAGTTTACAGGAGACACTACTGAGTCAACATTCGAACACGGGGCTAGATATATGATCGAAGCAGGAGAGATAGCGGGAGACGAAATTCTAAGGATCAAATACTTCCCAAGTTCTCTTACAAAGAACGCCTTTACTTGGTTTACTACGTTACCTCCTAACTCAGTTTGTAATTGAGCCCAATTGGAACAGTTATTTCATGAACAGTTCTACATAGGACAAACTAAGATTAGTTTGAAAGAATTGGCTAATATCAAATGTAAAGTTATGGAGCCAATCGACGGCTACTTGAATAGGTTTCAACTTCTCAAAGCCAGATGCTTTACCCAAGTACCAGAACACGAATTGGTCGAAATGGCTGCAGGGGGTCTAGATTATTCCATTAGGAAAAAATTAGATACCCAATATCTAAGAGATATGGCACAGTTAGCCGACCGAGTTCGCCGCTTGGAAAGGTTGAAAGAATAGAAGGCTAGGTTTAGTAAGGGTAAGAAAGTAGCCTTTGTCGAATGTAACGAAGATGTCAAAAACATGTGTGATGAAACACTTTATTTCGACGAAAATGAGGTAGACGTCGCTGAACTAAAGCAAGGTCCACCTTATGCCTGTAAAGTTTTAGCTACTTCAAATGGAAAAAATCCCACTGAGTCTAATGATAAGTTTCCTAAAAGAACATATACTTTTGACATTACTAAGTGTCACGAAATCTTTGACTTGTTAGTTAAGGATGGACAAATAATAGTACCTGCTGGTGCTAAAGTACCTCCTTTAGAACAAAGAAAGAAAAGAGGTTTTTGTAAGTACCATAATTTATTGGGTCATAAGACTTCTCCATGTTTTCTTTTCAGGGATTTGGTGCAGAACGCCATCCAAGAAGGAAGGCTGAAGTTTGGAGACAAGTGGATGTAATGAATACTATTAATCAATTCGTCCTTCATGAGTGGATCATGAATCACTTCAATTCCAATACTTTAGTTCTGATTCCTAAGTGCAAAGAAGCTGACAACTTGAACCAGTTCAGACCTATAGCTCTAGCCTCTCTGATTTCTCCTGAGCATAATGGTTTTGTGCATGGTAGGAAGATAACGGATAACATCTGTCTTGCCTCAGTAGTTATGAACCCGTTGAACCAAAAACTTTTTAAGGGTAATGTTGCTCTTAAATTGATATATCCAAGGCTTCCGATTCCTTAAGTTGGACATTTCTTCTAAAAACCTTATCAGTTTTTTGTTTTTGTGAAAAGTTGCATCCTTAGATCAAGTTAATTATTGAATTTTATCACTTCTCTATTAGCTTGAATGACAATAAAATAGGTTTCTTCAAGTTCTCCAATGGTGTGAAGTAGGGAGACCCTATGTCTCCTCTTCTTTTTTGTCTGGATGAAGAAGTTTTGAGTAGAGGTATTGCTAATCTTGTTGAGGACAAGTAAATCTCTCTGATGCAAAGGTCTAAAATCATCATGGTTCTGTCTCACACTCTCTCGTAAACGACATTATGATCTTTTGTAAGGATGACATGAAGTCCATCAATACCATTTCCAGTCTCTAGATAAGATATGCCACTTATTATGGAAAAGTTTGCAATGCTTTCAAATCTCTTATCTTTGTAGGAGCTATGGATCAATTGAGGCATAAAAGACTTATTGGTCATCTTGGATTTGCTATGACCTACACTCCTTTCATCTATCTAGGAGCCTCGATTTTTATTGGCATACCTAAGAATATTCATTGCTAATAGAACCAGACTTAAGTTTGCAGCATGGAAGCCTAGTCTTCTCTTCGTGGCTGGAAGACTTTAACTGGTGAAATTTGTGGTCCATGGCATGTTAATGCATAGTTTTTTGATCTACAACTGACCTTGTGGTATCATAAACAACGTTGAAGCTTGGATGAGGAACTTTATTTGGAGTGTAGATTTAGATAACAGGAAAATGGTCACAATAGCCTGACACAATTGTTGCAAAAGTCTCAAAGAAGGAGGCTTAATGATGCTGCAAATATACACCTCAGTTGGTCCTTGGTATAGGTTAACTCTGGCTGGTCGAAACTGCCTTCTTCAAGAGATTTTAGAGGCAATAGAGTCATCTCACATCATATTTACTCTTCCCTTTGGAGTAGTATCAAAAATTAATTCTCTACTATTCAGGAAAATTCAAAATGGCTTCTTGGTGATGGTAAGAAAATCAATTTCTGGTTAGACTGTTAGTTGGATGTCCCTCTGGTTTAGGAATTCAGTATTCATAAAAGGCATCAAAACACTATCTATTACAAGGTTTCAGATTATTTGCACAATAATAATTGTTCTCTTCCTTCGAATCTTCAAAATGTCATTCATGGCCTGCTAAACTATGTTTCTTCTTGCTTTATTCCCACTAAATGATTTGATGACTTGTTGGTTTGGACTGGCACTGAGAATGGAGAGCTAAGTCTAAAGTATGCTTATAATTTTCTGGTCAAATCTTCTCTTTCTGATCTATGAACTGGTTTCCCATGGAACCCTTGCATTTCTTCTTCTAAATCAATTTTGATGTGGCGTTTTGTGCACAGCAGACTTTCGACAGATGAAAACATGACCAGAAGGGGTTTTGCTTTTACCTCGATGTGTTCATTGTGCAATAAGGAGTGTAAATACTCATCTCATATTTTCTTTGACTGCAACTTTGTGTCTTACATTTGGAGTTGGTTCAAGGATACTTTCAACATTCACAATCCTATCAATAATTTCTTGGACTCTAAACAAGCCATGTGCAATGATTGGTCCCCCTAGCTAATTATTACATTTAATGTTAATCTGATTATTCTTTTTGTAGAAATTTGGGTGACTAGAAACAATATCTGATTTGCTACTTGGTTGGTCCATTGGAAATCTTCTGTTACCTCGATAGTTGATGCTTCAAACTTAGCAGGGAACCATACCAGCAAAGCTTTAAACTCTTCCATGGAGAATTTATGCATCATGAAGAAGTTTAACATTTCTATCCATCCCCCAAAAGTCAAAAAAACAATCAATGTTCTTTGGCAACCTCCGAATAAAGGTTGGATCAAATGCAACATATATGGCTTTGTTATAGGTGTTCCATCTTTTTGCTCCTGTAGTGAAATCTTTAGAAACGGCATAATGAGTCTCATGGGAACTTTTGTAATTTTTTGGGAGCTGCAATGCATTACTTGCGGATAATCCATAACTATAGTGGAGATTGTTAGGGAGAGAAAGTGAAATAGTCTATAGATTGAATCCGACTCGGCTATTGTGGTAAAAATTTTCTCTAACTTTTTTTCTCGTTCTTCAAAAAATAAGATCTAGATAGTTGAATTGTACAATTATTACTCATGACATGAATTTTTTGGTTATTTATATTTTTAGTGAAGCTAATGATTATTCAGATTCTTTATCCACCATTTATTTCATGTCCAAAAATAACAATTAGTTTAATTTTATGCAGTATCATTAACAAAGACTCTATGTTAGTACTCAAGGTTTAGGCTCTTTTCTTAAGAGATTTTGGTTTGGTCTCTCGTAGTTTGTTCTTTATCTTCTAATATATTTCATCCTTTTTGTTAAAAAATAAATAAATTATAATATAGTATAAATATTAGATAATAAAAACAAAAACAAAACTAACTTTAGTAAAATATAATAAATATATAATATAATAATAATATTATGTAACAAGTCTTTTAATCCGAAAAATTTAACCATTAAAACCTAGATGTATAATTTTGTAATTTTGTTTTACTTCTCAAGTTACAACCCTTTTTGCATTCTTTATGCATTTTAGCACATTGCTACAGATCACGGATAAACACCGCCATTCAATTTCAATTTCAAGGTACAATTCTCTCTTTCGCTTTTTCTTTGTTTCCTCTTTCAATTTTCATTTCGTTCATCTTAGTTGTTTGTTTACCTTGAAAATGCTACAAAAACGGTGATGCTTTCAACTTGATTGTTAGAGGTTTTTATTGCCCCCGATCTTATATTGAAAATTACATTGTTTCTGTTGTTCGATTCCGAAATTTGGCATTTCTAATCGTGCAATGCAATTGCACGAACATGATATCAAACGCCTCCGTGTTGCTAATTTTATCTTTGTGGAATCGGTTGATTTTGGAACACTTCCTACGGTGTTTCACTTTTTCTTATGAATATGTTTTTTCTTATGAATATGTTAGAAACTAGGAATCACAGACATCCGTGTTGCGATGTCTGACTCCTCTTAAAAAATGGTTTTTTTCCCTTGTTTCGATCCTAATTGAATTGGTCTCCGACACCGGAATGATACTCATAGAATTGGTGGTGTTCGACACCCGTACGGCACTCAAATCTCGCATCTAAAAGGTTAAACATGCGTGGAAACAATATATATAGCAGTATGCATGTCCAATGTTTTTGAAATTATTGGTGTTGGAACATCTGTGTCGGGTTCAGGTGTCCTTGTCGGAGTCCATTCGTAGGTTAGAAATTAAAGTTTTGGAATTTCATTGTATAATTACACTGGTTGATAGTTCTGGCCTTTTCTTTTTGAAATGGTTAGCTTTCTGATGAAATACCCTTTCCGTCGTTTATATATGTAATTGCTTTGTCATTCTTCAACTTTATTTTTGCATAGATTTTGCTTGACCTTTTCTTTGTTTCTTGTTTTTATTTCTGTTCATAACTCGTGTCTATGAAGCTCAAGGACTTACAAAACTTTTCTGTTTTTCCCAGTTGATGACGTGACTTGGGGCTAGCCTTACATATATTTGGGGTTCGAAGATCTATTCTATCCATCAAAATGAAGTAATACTACCAATCTACTTCTTTATTTGTTTGCTTTGCTAATTTGGTTTTATTAGTTTTTTTTATTTTTTGTGGAATGCGAAAAAGGGTAACTTGGTCTTGTATTGATCCCGTCCCGACAGAAGAAGCTAATTCCAAACTTCCAATATTCACATCCTGTGACCTCCGAGATTAATTAAATTTACTTAAAGTTGAACTCCCCATATTTTTGTATATCTTATATATAATTATATTGTAATGAGCTAAACCGAAGAATATATTCAATTGGGATGAATTGAGAAGAAATTGTAGTATTATGAACCTTTCCTTTGTTTTGACATTGCAGGGGACATGTGAAATGGGATGAAGCTAATATTGGAAACATTGAAGCAAACAAACCTGTGAGGCAAAAAATTACTGAACCGAAGACTCCGTATCATCCTATGATCGAAGAAGACAGTATGTAAAGAAGATCTGTTGAACTGCACGTCCTTTAAATTTTCTTTTGCATATCAGTATGATTATGTCTGTATATGGATATCATATGACTATCTATTGAACAATATTAGCAGGAAAAAATATATGTTTTGCATCCTTGAAATTTTTGCTTTACTGTTATAATGTAAGTTTCTGTTGATTGAGTTGATGAAAATCCTTGTTTGTAATGTTATGCTCAAGCATATTTTTACTTCTAGATTAAAAGCTACTCCATGTGCAGCTACTTTTCATCTGAATAGCTTAATTTTTTAGGCTCTCCATCTCCTGGAAGAGGAGGGTATGATGAATGCGATGATGATAAAAGCGACCCAGCAAAAGCTGAAGAAACTGCTGTTGAAGATGCGGCCTGTTGCAGCAGAAAAAAAAGGCAATCTGACGGCTGGTCATCATCCGAGGATGAGGAAGACGAAGCAGAACAAACTGATGATGGTAATATTAATCATTTAGTGCTTTCTAGCAAATATTATTATTGCAGTAGATTACCAGGTCTGATGTTTTGATTCTGAAACAGATGCAAGTAGTAGTTTTAAAGAGCATCGACGGGCCCATTATGATGAATTCCTTAAAGTCAAAGCACTGAGACAGCAGGAGGCTCTACTAGAGAATGGAAGCGACGAGGATAATAATACAGAGCTTGCCGAGGAGAAGAAAGCTGATGCTGATTCATCTTCTCTGGCGAGAGCTGAATAAAGGAAATTCGCTTTGGGGGAAAATGGCTTCTACTCATTTCCTCCGACTAAATGTTTCTTATATACTGTTTGATGAATAAAACCCTCTGTGGTTTCATTACTTTTTATATTATGGAAAGGAAACAGCTGACCGATTAACCGATTAACCAATTCTTTTATCATTCGTGTATAGATCACTTTTTTTCCACTTGGTATGTTCAACGAAACTTACATGATCCGTTTAGATGCGGGTGATATGCCATGTTAGATTCTCTTGAGAACTTAGCAAAGAATGGAATTTTCTGCTTGAATTTTTTTAGCAGTGCACTGGTTGCTTTTCAATGGTTAAAATTGGATGCTTTCTTGGATGAAATTAGAAAGAAAAGAAAAAAGAAGATAGTTATAATGTTTCAAGTGTGTTTAGCTAGTATTTTATAATTTTGACAGAAAGTTGAAGTTAGTTAGACAGTTAATTGGCTATATTAGTTAGTGTCAGTTATATTCTTGATAGCCAGTGGCAGTGTCAGCTGATACTTAAGTTAGGTGATCAATGAAACCATAATCTTTAGCTTTCAATAATTGCACACAAGTACAATTGTTCTTTTTAACTTTCAGGTCTGGGTTAAAGACTTGTAAGTTTTATAAAAATGTGACAAACTTCAAAAAAGATATAAAGAAAAATAGAATTATAAAAAGGAAACTAGCTAGTTACTTAGATTCAGTATTCACAATCACGATGTGATAAATTGAAGTTGTAAGTTAGTTTTACGTTTTATAAAATATAAAACTTCTGGTCCTATTTATAAAAAAAATGTGTTTTTTAAATTTATTTTTATAAATAGAATCAGAGATAGTATTAGTTTTGGACCCGCGAATAAAGCCTAATAACATCATATGTATAGAATAGGTGGATCCTCATCCCTGTCGAGGACACACAATCACGACACCGGTCACATCTCTTATAGTTAGGTTTGATATAGGTGGATCCTCATCCCTGTCGAGGACACACAATCACGACACCGGTCACATCTCTTATAGTTAGATTTAATCAAATGACAATTTGCGAAAGACGCTAAATCGAATGCAGATGATTTTTGTTGGGAGAGAATATGAGTGGGATTGGCGGTTTTAAATACACCTTTCCTTTAAAACTATTTTTAAAATCAGAGTTTTCACAAAAATCAGAGTTTTCACAAAAATGAGACAACACAAATTTGATAGAATATGGGTTGGATCGATATTACAAATTACACAATGTTCCGACGAAATAATAAAATATGAGATGATGAGAATATTAAACATTAAACAAATTAATCAATACAAATTAAATTTGAATGAGGTGTCTAAATCGAATTATTAATCAATAAACAAATATAATATTACATTTTACAAACAGATTTAATCACGAGAAAGATGAATAAAATGACTTAATTTATTTCAAACCTACACTTATGCAATAAATTGCGTTATGCAGATAAAATCTAAAACTGTAATTCTTTGAAAAGCGATACAAACCAAATTGTGCAAGCTATACAAAAAATTAAAAAAATAGAGATAAAGAAGTTTGTATTAGTGATTATATTGGTTCAACGCGTTCGTCCTTACTTTGTGTCTAATGCAGTCTCCAATGAAAAGTCATTGAAAATTTGTAGCCTTCTACTATTTTGATAATTTTTATAATGCGTGTTTAATACAATCAAAGAACCAGATAATGCTAAAATTTAACACAATTAAAACAATTCGAATTTGAATCCTTCTTTCTTATGTTGTATACAACCCACAAAGCTGATCTCCATAAAACTTTCACTCAATCTTGAATGTCCACTTACTGAGATCCAAGATCCTCTCCAAGCATCCATTTCACATCGGTCTTCACTGGACCCTATCAGTCCCTTGTCTAAGTTGTTTGTCTATCTAAAGGAACAAAGACTCTCAACTTTGTTCCGTAGCAAACTTCATCCAGTTCTACCGAAGTCTTCAATGGAAAAGAAATAGTTTTGTTTTGCTCTTGTTGGATTGTCAATCTCAGCCACAACACACAATTTAATTTAAATATTGATCCACAACTAAAAAACTTCACAAACATTAACGACATATGAACCCCATCTACGATAGATGTAACATTCCCTAAGAATTGAGAAGAAACCAAAATATGATATTCTTTTTAGAGGTTGAAGATGAATTTAGATACAATCGAAAATTGCGAAAAGTGTACTCAGAAAGCTAGTTTCAAGATTTGAAAATCTTTAAAAGTTATTATTCTATTATGGGTTATGTGTATGTGTGTGTGTGCGCGTGCGCGTTTGCAAGTGCGTGTGTGCGTGTGCGCGCGTATGTACGTGTGCATGTGCGTGTGCGCGTGTGCTTGTGCGTGTGAGGGTGCGTGTGTATGTGTGTGCGCGCATGTGTAAAACGAGTAAAAACACTCTTTTGATTCGAGTCAAGACTTTTTCTAATTGTTTTAAATATTAAAAATGTTTTCAAAATCAAGCTAAGTGATTAAGAAGTTGTCCACTATTGTTTAAAGAATTTTTAAACTAACCGATCGATTGCAGTCTAAAGCCAATCAATTGACAAAACTTTTTTGAGTCTGTAAATCGATTAGAGAGAGCCTAAAATATTAACCAAACGATTAGGACAACACCTTAATGAATTGTAACAAATCTCTATCAAATATTTCCATATTGGACAAGGTAATCGATTAAAATCAAGTCATCCAATCGGTTAGGCCTAAAGTCGATCGATTGGATGATCAATTGAGCCTAAATCATTTCCTTTTTTTTAAATTTATCTCTCTATTTGTTCTCGTTCTCCCTCTAGAAACATTTTTTTTACTTAAGTTGTCTAAGTACTTTTGAGTGAAACTTTGCTTGTGAGAAAGAGTCTTTTATAAGTGGTCGTGCTGGTTGTTTACTTCTTGAGAGTACGATACTCATGGGAGATTGATTTTGCTTTGTGAGATGAATCAGTCATAAAATCTCTATTTTAGTTTCTAGAACTTTGTTGGAAAAAGTTTTGTTTTGATTATTGAGAGCAACCTGAAAATCTCTATTAAGGTTTATTAGCTTAACCTGTGCTAAATTCTATTTTTAGTTGGGGATAAGTCTGTAAAAATATAAAGATCAAGTTGTATAAAGGTTGTTGCGGTGAAATTTGGATGTCAAGCTATTGATTAACTTGAATCTTAATTCATTTACAACCGGTCTTTGATTTATCCGAAGGAAAGGTTAAAGAAAGGAAAAACCTAAAAGGGAGAGATCTAAGGTTCGGGGGTTGGTTAAATTTAGGGAAGGTATTAGCACCCTAAACTTCCGTAGTACTCTACGGGAACCTTTTGTTTATTTATTTTTATTTATTTCATTAATTATTTTGCTTTAGGGTATATACAAAGGATTGAAAATTAAAAAAGACCTAGGGGTTAATTCTAAGTTTACTCGGCAAGACATCGCATCTTGTGCCTACATATCCTTACGGGAATGGAATCAGAGTAACTGTAGTTCCCCTCAAAAGGGAGGTTAGAAACGTCTTGACTGTGGCCAAGGTTTCAATGGGGAATAAACGTATCTTAGGGACACGCTTACGCGGAGTGTAGAAACTCCAATATCTACGTTGTAAATTGTTAAGTGAATTAGGGTTAGGTTAGGGATTCCACAGCGGGAAACCCGAAAATGAGCGCGGCGGCTCTTTGACCTAATGCTAGGGGTAACATGGTAATTTTGCCTGCGGCGAGGCATTTGTGAAAATTAGGGTTTGTAGTTTGTAGTTTTGAGGGTTTGAAATTGAATGTGTGAAATTTGAGGGTTTGAGGACTATTGGCATGGCGGCCAAACGGCTAGACCTAATCCTTCGGAGGTGTGATGTGACACAGAAGTAATAGTGATGAAAGTGTGAGAAATTTAAATCATACAAACGGAAATAAAATGCAGAAAGTAAACGCGATTGTTGGTTCGCGAGGTTACAAATGAGAAACGGATACAATTATATACAACTTGAATTGAAAAACACATTAAAATAACTAATAGCAACGTAACAAGCTGCACATTGAATACACAAGGTTAGTAGACAGAGTCACACAGTAATCAGGCGAGTTATGAAACGGAAGTGCGAAAGTTATAGATATTCTTTGTTGTTTATTTGTGATATATAAAAAAGCTTTTGATTTAAGTTAAAAAAGAGGTTTTAATATTATTAAAAAAATTTTCAAAAATAGTCTTAATTTAATTATCTAACAAAAAGGTTTTATTTTAAAAAAAAAGGTTTAATGTTATTATTATATATTTTTTTAAAAAACGGTTCTAGTTATTATTTTAAAAAAAAGATTTTAGTTATTATTTTAAATTTATCTAAAAAAAAGTTTTTCTTAAAAATAATAGATTTTCATATTAATTTGGAAAAGATGTTAATGTTATTTATTTTAAAAAACAGATTTTTATATTATAACAAGTTTTAATAAATTAATGATAATAATAATAGTAATAATAATAATAATAATAATGATAATAATAATAAATAATGATAATAATAATAATACTACTACTACTAATAATAATAAATAATAATAATAATAATAATAAAGCAATAATGAATTTTAAATGTGCCAAATAACCCAACAATGTTGCTAAAGCAGAACTGCGCTCATCGCAACCAGATCTAAATCGGACGAAACAAAATTTATCGCAAAGAAAAAGAAATTAAGCAAAAAAAAACAGTATTATTGCTCACACAAAAATGCGATCATCGCAACCAGATCGAACTAACACAAATGTCACGCGTTATGCACACAAATGTGCAAACATCGTATCGACATAATTCGATCAAAAATTAATCTTATATATATAAACTCTAACAATTTAAAAATTATATATATATATATATATATAAACGTAACAGTAATAGATAAAGAAAAAGAAATAACGGTAATAGATGAAGAAAAAGAAATAACGGTAAAAGATGAAGAAAAAGAAATAACGGTAAAAGATGAAGAAAAAGAAACAACAGTAATAGATGAAGAAAAAGAAACAA